CTTGCTGTCTCCGGTGACTCCCTGTGCGATCGGTCGTGACGTGCTGCTGGGCCTGGATAAAGACAGCAACAGTGATAAGCGGTTACAAGACAAGAGATGGCTCTTTACCTTCTCAGCGGTGCCTGGGAGCCTCCCTGTGACACGGGGACGGCCTCAGGAAAGCCCCTCGTGCTCCTCCTGACACCCTCAGCATAACCACAGCCTTCCTTTGGAAACGAGTAATGGCAAAGGGTTCCTCCCAAACCTAGGAAGACCCTGTAGGTTCATACGTTCACCAAAATGGCCCCAAAAGAACGACAGAGTCCCTCGCTTTGAGCCATGACCTGCTGGCACAGCTACCACGAAGACCAGGCCTTCGACACCCGGCTCCTAAGAACATCTTCCACGTGTCCAGTCGCTCACATAACACACGGCTTTTGTTAGTGAACTCTGCTGATAAGAAGTGGAACACTCACAGCTCAGGGGAATGAAGTTGCCTAACTATTCCTAGAACAGGCAATTTATTTCTGCTCCATTTGGGTCTTGGTGGTTATCATTTCCTTGCTTAGTAAAAATAACTACTTCACTTTTTAAAGATAAAACCTTTGACTCAGTCAGAGCCTGCAGGTGCCTGCTACCTATCGCTATGGTCTGAAATGTGGCAGCCCTACTCCTCCCCCACTCCTGGAAACAGTATCTCCCCCACTTCCTCCATTTTCACCCACAAAAGTGAGTTTTTAAAAATTTTTAAATTTCAACTACATTTTGACAGGGAAGGGACATTCTTCTCCCTCAAATTATTTTTTCAAGAAACTACTTTTGCTTATATCCAGCTCTGGAGGCAAACCAGCACTGACCTCTAAGCTCTCCAGACTTTCTCCTCTTAAGATGTTGCTGCAAATTTCCTACTCTCATTACCTCACCTCGGGGAAGAGAGAGGCCCCAGGTGCAGTAGGTGAAAGGCAGCATTATTTACTGAAGCTCCTGGGGAGCTCCTTGGGTGTTTTGATCACGGACAATGAAACATCTTGAGAACTGCATGCTGCCAGGTAACGGGATTTGCCCAACCTCAGCCCCGTTTTATCACAGGTGGGATCAAGCTCATTACATGAGGTTATCTATTGTATAGAGGCCCTGCTTTGCCTTGTCACATCTGATAGGCACTTCTCTCCCAATCCTGCTGGTGGACTGATGCATTCCCTTCACTTGGAAGATACTCTCCTCATGGTTACCTATAGCTAAGGAGAACTCAGTCCTTCCTACATGGTCCTGCTCCATTCCTGTGTCTGAGCCACCACACATTCTCTCTCACATTGTTGCCAGTGTTAGATCATTTGACTCCAAAGCGCAGGGTAAGAGTAGCACCAGCCCACTCAGGGGTGGGATCTGCACTGCCTCTGCTGCCTGAGCTGGAAGATCAAGGTCTGCAGTGAAGTTGAAACAAGTCGATCAAACTCGACATGGGGCCCAGCTACCATTAGACTGGAACAGGACAGCCCATGCTGCAGAAGCGGTGGGTAACAGCTGGACGACGCATCACCAAAATCTGTCTCGGCTGACTTACCTGACTTAGATTAAGAGGCTGCTGCTGCTGGAAATGTGCTCCTGGTCGCTGCTGCCTATAGGCAACGGCTCCAGACGAGCTCCCTGAAGAGTGACCGCTGGTGGAGGTCACGGTGCTGGAGGACTTGGACTTGTAGGAAGATGAGTGGTGACTGGTGGTGACTGTGCCAGGAAAGGAAACACATTTGTAGCTTACATCACATTCTTTAATTGCTCACCCTACCTTTTCCTCACTGAATCTCCTCCAGAGTGGCTTTTGGGAGGAGACATACAACAGAAGCAGGGTAAGAAAATCGTTTCCCTTAATTAACAGAATAACTCAGCAGTGCTTCATACACATGGCCAGCCTGTTATCCTAGAGGCAGACAAGCAGACCTGATATCTGGACCCAATCTGGGCCCGGAGAAGGCTTTATAGATCCTTCAGAAGTGTGAGAATCTGTTCTGCCAGCAGAACTGTGCGATGCAGGTACAAATCCCAAGGAGAGGAAGGAAAGTATAGTGTGCACAGCACAAAAAAGCCCTGGCTTGGCTGACCTCATGGTGCGTAGGAAGGGAGGGAGAAGGAGCTAGTGGGGAGCTCACCCTCTGAGCCTCTGTGTTCACCAGCAGTGCGTCAAAAGAAAGGACTGCCAAGTAGCTCTAAGCCAATTGCTTCGGGCCAGATTTCCACCATAAGCCCTCTTTCAACATATTGTACTATCTAGCATCGCGAAGGCTCTGGATGAAGAAACCTCCTCAGTCCATAATGAAGATCCTGGGGAAGTGTTCTTCCCAGAAACATCAACAAATTTGGATCAAAATGCACCTGTGTTTTCAATCTCTTATCCATTTTAAAGTAAACCTATGGAAAAGCAAGGCAGCAAAGCTTCACACTTGCATTTGGGAGCCTTTCACGTCAAATGTTGAGCTAAAGGCTGCATTCTGTTCTTGGGCTTGTACAGAAGTAACTGGGACCGACACTTGCCCCCGTGGCTCCTGAGTGTACCAGGGCACACAAATAATGCAATATGGCTCCCAAGAACAGATGTGTCACTTGAGAGAAGGGCAGGAGCATGGTTTCTTTGGAAAACAAAACAAACAAACAAACAAACAAAATGAAACCGAACAATGAGATTCTTCCAACATAAATCATTTATTTCTTACTAATTTTCTTGACTGAAGAGGTGCAATTTACCTGGCGCCAGGCTATCGCACTCTACCAACACCTCACTGGCCTGGGTTTTCAGTGGTGGCACGATGATCGTTCGGGGGTTCCCACTGCAGTGAGTCTCTGGAACCCCTTTGGTGTCGTAGGCGTTACCGTTATTCTGCCCTGCGCGATGCTGCACCGCATAGGGGCTGTTGTTGCTGGAGGAATCGGAGTAGGGGGAGTCATGCACGGTGACGCAGCTGATGACATTCTTCCTCTGCTTGGACAAGGTGCTGAAATGAAAGCACACAAGTGGGAACAGTGAATGGGCAACCATCGACCCAGAAGCCACCAGAAGACTCTGTCTGCCCGCAGCAGACCAGCTCCGCGCAGGCAAAGCACACCCTTCTGTCCGCCGCCAGGGAGAGGCTGCTTAAACCAAATCCCAGGCTTCAAAGCTCACTCGTTGCTATTCCAGGAAAGCCTTCATGGAGGTCAAGGAGTGAGTAAGACATTGTGGATAGATCTTACATTTGCACCGCTTAGAATAGCACTGAGCCAGACTGCCAGATTTATTTTCAGGTTGCTTTTTATATATGTGTGCAGTAGAAACCCAGCAGTTATACTATGCTTTCTTGCAAGTCTCACCACCCACACGAAAATGTGGCGGTTTCTCCCAGCTTTCCAGCAATGATTTAATAATAGATGCTACGACTTTTCATGCTTAAATCCCATGAATCCACAATTTATTTACTAATGTGGTACAATGGGCATACATCCTCAACAGGCATTTGAAACTGATGAAAGAATGGCAAAAAACCTGAGCAAAGTCTGTAATGTTTTTAGTTTTCTTTTCTTTCTTGCAACAGGCACTGCGTCTCCTGGCTGGTGTGGATTATCAAGGTCCTGCTGCGGCTAATCTATCTATGACATCTAAAAAGCGATTAAAAAGGAACATCAACACTTTCCAAGATTAGTGCTAGAAGTTCATTAGACTAGACTGCACGAGTACGATTGGGATTTGCTCTGCTATTGTGTCTAATTATTCCTGATGGCTTCTCCTTCCTGTTATGAGCTTGTTTAGGGAGAAAAAGAGAGAGTGAGAAAGAGGAGGGAGGAAGGGGGATGGTGAAGATTTGCTTAAATGGCTCACATCCTTGACAGTGCACAGACCTTGACTACAGAAAATAGCTGCTATGTTTCACTGATTGCATTATGTTGTTATGGCAACTGAAGTTTTTAAAATGATGAAAAGAAATGGATAGCACATAAAAAAGCTAAGTAATTAGGCTTAATGGTGGAAACAGCCCCAACAGGAACAGAAACGCCATGGAGAAAAAAGGAATCCATCTCTTAACTTCTCGAGTGTGCACTTTAAAAAGAGAGATCCCTTTCCCATCGAGTCTCCTCTCTCTTCTCTCACTCTGGCCCAGCCCAGGGAACAGCTGATTAATCCAATCTCAGTCTGTGATGGAGCTGTTTGTCCCCAGCCTCAGCATCGTTTCTTACCCAGGGAAAGGTGAGGCAGATACTGAGAACAGTTTCCTTCCAAGGACCACTGTTTGCCTTACTTATTTTTCACAGAGCTAAAGGAGCACAGGTGGGTTCCCTTCAACTTGTCTGTCCCAAAGCCTCCCTGTCAGCATCCATGCTCTGCAACTCACCACCTCGCTCCCAAGAGTTGTCACTGAAAAGCTCTCATCTTCTCTGTTAAAGGATGCCTTGGGGGAGCTGCATTCGCAAAACGAGTTATCACACAGACCTTCTCTGGGCTGTCATCACAGGATCCCGGTGTGCCCCAGAGAGGACACGAGGCCGTGTTGTTCTACGCACAGCAAAACATACACCTCGAGAGGCTCCTGCTCTCCAAAGGCACGGACACTTGAAACAGGGCAGATGATGGAGAGGAAGCCACTGCACAGCAGTGGAAAGCTGAAAAGCTGGAAGCTGAAAGCAATCCTTGCTGGGGCAGGCATCTTTTTGATAGGGAAGGTGTACGACAGTGAACCCTCGTATTCTGGCTTTCCACGAGGAGCTGGAAAGCATCGGATTAGAAATGGAAAGAGCAACAGCGTATCTGAGATGGACAACTACTGTATACGAAGAAAGATGTAGCTGTTTGGATATGGTGCTACAGAGGAAGAATATTAAGCCAATAAAAATGACAAATATTGCATCAATATTCCTTTCTCCTTCAGTAGAAATGCCTGTAATCACACATTTATGAGTATCCATACTGCTTGCCCTTTGCAGCTACCCTTGGCTGCCAGTTGGGAAGAGATATATATTCTCTACCTCTGACAGTTATTACATTTTATAAAGAAAAATCAAGTCACTAAAGAGTTTTCTGACAACTGATAAGGTCTAACTATTCTTTTACAGTCTCTTTCTTATATTAGTGGCTGAGCTACTGAACTGGAAATACTTGCTCTCGGCTGACACTTGACATGGGAAGGCTGAGCTGTAGAACTGGAAGAGTATTTTTCTACATAATCTGTGCTATTTATTGTTTTAGAATGGGCATATTTTTCACCAATTTGACTGATGGTTTGTCAAAGCAGGAACCATGAGAAGCCTTCTCCCTCAAAGCATTACAGCTCTTTGGCTACAATAAGAAAATTAAGCAGATCTGTTTGTTTAAAAAAAATAAGCGACCCCAAACCAAAACCCGTTCAGAGGAAGGGACTCTTAACAGGATAATAAACTCATTTAATAAATGGGAAACTGAAAAAGACCAGAGCTATGGTCCTGCCAGGCCTTATGCAAGCATTCAGCACTACTAATATGTGTCATCCGCCAAAGTCAGCTGGACTATTCCAGTAACAGGGCTAAAGCACATGGGTAAATATTTGCAGGATTAGGGCCCAAGCGATTAGCCTCTCGATTCAGCAGGCTGCATCGTTTCAAGCGCACGAGGAGTCCCATCGAAAGCAGCTGGATTTTTGTCTTTAGAATAGGTAACAACTGCAGTTAACGTCAGGGCAGGCAGAGGAACCAGCCAGGACTATTCACACATGCCCAGAGCTCAGCACCTGCCCCAGAGAATAATTGTGGGAATTTCAAAAGCATGAAAGGCCCAACTCATGCTGAAAATCAGTTGATTCACAGGCTTAAAGATACACATTAAGCCGAAACAAGGAATTTTTGAAAATTCAACCCAGAAGAGCCAGCGCTCCCCCTTCTCAAAGCCTTCTTGCTGGCCAGCCACTGTTCTCCTTCCAGCTCCCTCCGAGGACTCAGCTGCTCTCTTCACCTCACAGCGATGCAGGAGTTACCTCCTGAGAGCTCCAGGCTGATCTACCGCCCTTCCTGCTCACAAATTAGCAGGACTGAAAGCTTCTACCTGTGGACACAGCTCCTGCCTACTCAGCAAGCTTACTGTATTCCTATAGCTCAGCCACAGCTTCTGGGGATGTTTGTGCTTACACAAAAAAACACTATTAGAAGTCTTGCCCCCTTCCTATTAAGCTCACTGCAAGCCTGGTAATTGCGTTCCCTCCTGCAAGCACAGTGGCAGCAGCATATGTGATTTAGGAGTGTTGAGAGCCGGCACATGTTCCTGGTCAGCTTGTGTGCCTGCCTGCATTATGTGGGTAGGTGTATTTTAATCCTCCAGAGGAGGGAGGAGGGAATGTTACCGAGGTGGCATCAAATCCATCTAGACTGACTGAAAAGCAATAAGCCAGGAAGGCTTCTGAATCCTTATCGGCTGGTGCTGCACCCTCCCTTTCAGAACAGCAGCTGGAAAAATATGCATTGCTTTGTAGTTTATTATTAGTTTATGAGCGTTAGCCCATTCCTGCCTGGTCCTGAAGAGATTGTTCTCAAACTTGGGCGCAAAACAATTCATGTCTGTCCAATGTGCAGACCGAGAGCACAACTGTGCTGTCAAACATACAGAAGCAGGTCCTGGAGACAGCTCTGTAACATGTACCACCCTTGTGAGGGCACAGCAGAGAGACAGACGTGTGTCCCTGTTCCCCACAGCAAGGAAAAGTCTTGAGGAAAAGCCTGATAGAGGGAAGAGAAGACAGTTTGTACATGGGCACTGGGCAACAAACTAAGGTGGGCATCTAAGATATTGTTAATGTAAAGGTGCCAGAGACAGCTGTTGAGGACAAAAAAGTGAGAGGAAATTAAAATGAGGGAAAAAAGGCAAAGAAGACAATGAATTTGTCGTTAGAACAGTGTCGAAACCACCTAAAGAGCCGAGCACAAGGGCAGGGACAACAGCTCTTGTAACAATGCAACTTGAGATCATTTCTACTTGCTGAAGGCCTATCCCATCACTGCATGAACATGTTACTTTTCCCAAATATCTCGAGCTACACCAGAATATCAGGAAAAGCAAATGATGTATAGTGGGGGCAACTCTTTGGCATGTGGTTCACCCAAATAGATCCAAACCTTTCCGTGCGACTCACACTATCGCAACAGAGATTTTTAGCTCTCAAGGTCACCAACATGACCTTCTAGTTCGGATGAAGAAGGAAGCCATCCCACAACTATGCCTTTCAACTGCTGTTCGTGTTCACCGTGGCACATTAGCTTTACATCGCATCCCAAAAATTCTGTTCCAGGTCTCCGAAAACTTTGTAACATGCAATCTCTTCAGTTTGCTGCTTCAGAATAACCCACCTATTCTAGGAAAGTATAGAGTCAGCCAACAAAAAACTCACACAACAACTGCAATCGCTCTCTTCACGTTGAAATCTTACGCCATGCATAGCTCAGTGTTGAGAACATGTCCCTCTCTCTCTTCAGCTCAACCTCCATCTCAACCTGTTAATCTGCTCTCACCTTCTCTGTGAATGTGATTGGTAAGAAATACTTATCAAGCACTACACTGAGGCCATTTTATTAGGCTATACATCACATGCTATAGCTATTTAAAGTCACGTATACCGAACTGCTTAGCCAGTTGTAAAAGTCCTGCTGCCGAGGGTTTGCTAAGAGAGCTACTGTCTATCTATGTTATTTTAAGTATTAGTTGCATGTCGGTGTCTCTTCTGGAGATGGAAGGCAGCAATCGTTCTACCGAATGACCACGGTTAGTCAACGTATTGCTATGTGGAGTCAGTGTATTACTATGCACAGCATAACATGGCCACAATAGGCTAGATGTCAAAAGAGAATTACAAATGATATTTTGACCCTCACACATGCAAGTTGGCAAAAACACCTTGTTTGTGCCGGCCAGCCACTGCTATGCGAAAGGGCAACTAAAGTCTTGTGAAGCAGGCTCCACCACCTTTGCACTACAATGTGAGTAAGGTGGATAACAACTTGCATCAGCTTACGCTCTGTTGTAGAGGTGAGACTTGCACAGAGACTTCACTGTGTACTTTACTATCTTAAGGGAAAGGGGAAAAAAAACAGCCCTGAAAGAATTTTGTGCCACTGAAGATGAGCAATGAGGCAGTTACTTAGCATGCCCACGTGACAGCTGCGGTCAGTCCTTCTTGCCCAGGAAGAGAGCGATTACTGTGAGGATCCCATGGAAAACCGAGCTGGAGATACCAGCTTACAATACCAGCACAGACGGAGCAGGCAGTGAGGAAGTGAGGGGCAATCCTGCTTCTTTTGGGTGGAATCACCCTCAAAACCACCCACCTTATTGTAACTGTTCCAAGAAAACAGTCACATTTTCCTTGGCTGCTGCACTCATTGCTTGGGTGGGAAAATCATCAAGGGACGTCATGGTGGCCACCTCCACTGCCTGTGTCCTCCCACCCCTTCCTCCCACCAGGCTCTGCAATGTGTCCCTTGCCAGGACCTGGAAATACCCTCTCCTGCTCCACCAGCCAGCCAGGCACATCCCTCCTGACGGACCACGGGTGCTCTCCTTCCCTCCCAGCCACAATCCCAGCGTGTGCTTCTCTGCTCTGCATTTAAGTTGTTGCTTTATTTTTCTCTGCTTCTAAGCTTCAGAAATATTTAATCAAGGGAGGATTTGCATTTAAGCCACAGTGCCATGTGAAGTTACATACTGGGGAGTACTTAACCCCTACTAATTGCTACTCCCTGAATATGCGCTCTGATTGCTGCGACTGCAGTTGAGCTGTCGGTCTGTCTGTCTCCTTCACTTTCTTGCAAATAGATAAATTTAAGAGGAACAAATTTATAAAAACAATCTCAAGTCTACCCTCTGTTCTTACTCCCTTCAGTGCTTTGCAGGTAATGGTTAGGCCTAAATTCTTGTTTCCAGAATAAATAACAGTCAAGGTATTACCTTGTAGCACAGCAGTAAACATCCCTTTGGCCTATAAAGCCTTGTGTTAAAGTACGCTGAACTGAAAGTGTAGAGGTTCACTGGGATAAATAAACCTGGAGACAAAATAGCTTCCTTTTCATATCATGCTTTATGCAAATTTTTGTCTGCTGTTCCACAAGACAAAATGCCATGTGCAAAACGTTGCGGGCATCACAAGTCAGGTAAAAACAATGTAATTAAGTAAAAATATTCCCTTTCTATTTTGACCATTTCAACATCTTGAAACACAAAAAAAAAGAGAAGTCTTCCTCTTAATCGGTTAATCCCCTAACACTTTCTCCCCCTTAAATAAAAGTCAAAGCTTCCTGCAGTTTTGAAGCTTCTGCAGACTTCACTGTATTGGAGATATTACTAGAAAAATCTCAGTGTAACCTGCAAAAATCTTGGTTTTCACAAATCGATTTTTTTAATTAGGAATTTGCCCCCTGAAAATCTCTGACCACTTGTCTGAGAACAGTCCCTTCTGAACTGTACCTGAGGTCCCTCCTCTGTGATATTGCCCCAGACACATGGCTAGGGCCCAGCAGATGGCCCCCTTTGACAAGGCTCCATCGAGCAGGTCCTCCAGAACCCACCTCGTACCACCTCTCCACCACCTTTACCCAACATGAGCCCAACATTTTCAGATTACTGAGTTTGAAAAGGTTACACCAAGCTACACTCATCAACGCTGCAAAACACATTCAAGCAAACAACGAGCAATGTGCTGGCCTGCCTGCCTGCTTAGCTGGTAGTTCATCAACATCCTCCTGGAACATCTATGCTTTTGATTAGGAAAAGGAAAATTCTCCCATATCCCACCAAATTCTTCAGATTTTTCTTTCACCAATAAAAAAATTGGATGACCTGTATGAGAAAAAGCTCGCTCTGCTGCTCTGTGGTTACAGAGAGGCTTTTCAAAGTAAATCCAAGCTCTAGGGCTCCTTTGCTGCTTCAGTGGTATCATATTTTATCAGCATCACCAGTCCTTCTTAAACCGAGACTTATGAACTGTTACATCGTCAAAGGACCTACTATTACTCACAACCACAGGTAGCTCTAATCTCTCCTCGCTGAGCAATCAATAAACATTTTTAGTCTCATGAGTCAAAGAGAAATTTCTAACCCCAAAGGAAACAGGAGAAGCAAGTGCTGTAGCAAATTTAGGAGCTGATCCAACGTCAGTGAATTTAATGCAACGATACCACTGCTATCAATAACATGGGATCAAGCAATTAACTTTGATTTCTCAAGTGCCACATGACTTCTGTATTCCAATGTAGAAAAAGCTAATATTGTTAGGACGTGACCAACAGCATGTTTCAAGCAATTTCTTATTTTTCAGCCCCACACCACTGCTATTGCCCAACAGAGTAATATTTGCGTAAATATGGACAAGACAACGCATTCTTTGCAAGGTTTCATTTTCAACTCAGATCCCAAGCCTTTGGATTGCATTAAAGCATGTACTTCACCATCACTCCTGTTTTTCTTGGAATCTAAAAAAATAGGTGAGTAAGAAGACTTGGAGGTACTTTCCTAAATGTGATGCACTTTGAATGAGAAAGACCTCAACTTTGGCAGAGGGAAAGTTCACTGGCATTAAATGCTGATGCAGCTTCTTTGACTGGAAGCTACTCTTTACCTGAGCTGAGAATCTGGTGTGAGATCTGCCCAGGTCATGAGAGTTGATTTCACTCTCCTGGAGACTTTAACCAAAAATTCTCATTCTGGACACGCTGTTTTCCATCTGTGTCTCTGCTTCTAATTCTCCACTCGCTCTCGTTACATCTGCACAGTCAATTTAACTCACTCTGGAATTCTAAAAGGTGCCCCAGAACAGCCCATGTCCATGTGAAATGTCTCTACATGGCTCAGAAATTAAATCTAGCTCTTAAGCTTTGGCCTTCCAGGAATGCTTGCACCCTGGCACTCTGCATAGATATGCCATATGGATACAAAAAGTAGCCAGGGATCTGATCCCAGGCAGGAACGTGTCCTGAATATGCTTTAATCATACCAAAGCCAGTTTGTTTATTTAAGTCTGGCTCCCGGGACTACTTTCCTAACCTCCCGGCAGACCTTGCCTGGATATTTAAATACCCCAAACACTCAACTTCATTTCCAGACATTTTCCAGAACTTTGTTCTGTCTGTCTCCCTGGAAAGGTGCCGAGTGAAGAAGCTGGTCAGATGGCAGCGAAATTGAAGCAGGGGAGACAATATTGGTTGCTGAAGCAGCTGCAGGATCCCAGCTCTTTCCTCCACCCTGCTCTGGACCCAAGATGATACCTCAATGATAAGTATTTGCACATGATTTCCCAAAGCTTGGGATCACCGCCATGGGTAAAGATGCTTGCAAACAGCTCCCAGGATCCTTGAGATACCTTCTCTCTTCATGCCAGTCCACCTTACAACCTCTGTGTTCAGCATCTCTTTTGTCTTGCCCTTCCTTTCCCATCAGAGCCCTGGGAGTGGGGGCTCCCTACATATAGTCCTCCTGACTTCCACGCTGACCTTCATTCAGTTTCTTCTGGAAATATGCCTCCTCTTCCCTACCAAACTAAGGAATATAGCAGTCATTTTTAAACACTTTTTCTTAAGGAAAAATACATTATGCTGCTCTGTGATCAATTTGCCATGATAACCACTGCATACACGACAAGCCTGAATTTGAGAGGCAATGAGTTCTTGCTGCCTGGTGGAGTTTACTGGTAGGGAGAATGGGAATGGGAAGCAGCGGTGGTTGTTGGGAAGCAGGTTGAAACTGCAGCCCTGGACGCCTGAATCATATGGCTCCTCTTTACAGATTTTTAGTTCCTTGAGGCCAAATGCATCTCATCTGTTCTGTGCGCATTTGCAGTGCTCCACTTATCACCAGAGCACAGAGATGCAGAGATACAGACAGATATCTCCAGTGATTAAAGGAAAATCTGCCACGAAGCATGTTCTAAATAAATAATAATTAAAAAAACTCTCTCAACAATACTGGAGAGATAAGGTTAAAAAATTCCTGGCTCAGTTACCAACACAAATATGGTATAATTATTCTGCTGTTTGCAAGGCTGCCTCTCTACAACTTATAGAGTGATGTCTTGTGACTAGCATCAGATGGGAAACCCAGAGTGCTTGCATGCACTGAAAGGTGCTGAAAAGACAGTCCTAGAAAATTAATTTTTCTCTCATCCACAGTGGAAGATATGCAGTGGCAGGCAGTCCTGGGCCGCACTGTTCACTCGAGTGAGTTGATTCTCAACAGACTCAGTCACCGCGGTCTTTATAGCCTCATCTATGCCTCTCTGCAGTCAGTCAAAAAGCAATCTGTTTCTGCTACTTTTTACAATAGTTCAGGGATGTCTTGGCAACACAATCAGAACCAAGCAAACCTCTTGCAATGTACTTACCATTACTGAGTGTTTGTAACACAATCACTAACTGTTTTTCAGAACCCTTTAATGGGAAATAGCACATATGGAAGGTGTCATTCAAGGCTCTTTACAGATGCCTGAGTGACTCTGAAAGATAAAATGTAAATTTAAGCTACCTTTCTTCCAAGCCTTTCTTTTTGCCTTTGTTTTAAACAGCTATCTGACTTAAAGAGGCTTGTCACCATAAGATCTCTAAAGTCTCCTTTCAACAGTCCTGTGAGATGGAGGAAAATATAATTTCCTCTTACAGATGAGAGACTACAGCACGGAGAGACTACTACACTTCTCCAAGGTCACAGAGCAAACGTACAGCATGGTAGGGAACATCACCTAAGTCTGCAGAGTCCCCAGCTAGTATTTGATCCCCCTCCTCATCTTTCAAGCAAAAGACAGCCTGGGTGCTGAGACCCAACTGCAGCTGCTGGGACCCTTCACCAACTCCCCAGATGCTCCAGCACTTCTCTGTCTCTCTCTTTCTCCTCTGCATGCAGAGAAGAGCAGAGAGCTGCTGCTCACCTGGTGGGCGCGTGCTTCTGCTCCTCCTCTTCATCCGTGTCGCTGCTGATGGTGATAACGCTCACTGCAGGGCTCGGCGTGTCGGGAATGATGATCGTCTGCCGCTGCCGCTCCCGCGTGGGGCTGGTCGCCATGTCGCCCCAGCCGCAGGTGACGGAGGTGCTGCAGGCCGGGCTGTTGTGCACCATGGCACAGCGGGGAGGCGTGTTCTCCTTCACTCGTTTGGAGCGTTGAGGCGAGCTAATGGATTGAGAGGATGAAACTTCATAGGTGGATGCATTTCTGGAAACGAGGTGGTTTAAAACTCGGTTAATTCTGGAAATGTTAGTCGGTTAAAACTCAGTTTGCTTAGTTTGCCCGTCACTGTGGCTTTTGGCTCCCCATCTCTGATTTGGTGGCACTGATTCATGAAGTAGAGGAAAACCGCAAAATTGACATAGTCACCTCTTCAGAGTGCCCCACATGACTTATTCATACAATTGTCTGAAAAGTAGATTCTCTTAGTAAAAAATTTTCCCTAGAAATTTCCAAATGAGAAGTGCCACCTCCCAGGAGTTTGTGCTGGGAGGTGGAGGCTGGTCCCACAGCCTAGACATACAAAAACACAGGCAGAAGGAAGAACTCAAATGATAAACCCTCCGTCCTTTATGCTGCATGGATGTATCATGAATAGATATTTCTTGGCCAGAAAAAGCTAAAGGTAAATTTAGAATTTGTGGTGGAAAACAACAATTATTTATCAGGAAAAATGCTTTTCTTAGTTGAAAATTTAATTTTCTGTTCAAGAATCTTTTCAATGAATATGTCCTGCCCGATGCTTCATCCTCGAGGACAGCAGAGTCTCATGGACAAGAGCATGCAGATGGAAGGTCATATACTCAGTTTCCTTTCATTCCTATGTGAGGCAGCAGATACAGCATATATAAATCAGACAGAAAAAAACAATCTTTTTATTATGCAGTACAAAAATATTCTCAACTTTCTATTTCAGCTTCCCTGCCTGACAGCTGGAAAAGGCCAACTTGGATCTGGGATCTGAACACAGAACCTGTCCACCAAACAGTGCAGCACAGCTCAAGAGATGGGAATATTTACCAAAGCACACTGACTAAAAAACCCTTTCACTCATTTCCCACATTTTTTTTCTTCCCTGTATTTCTTGTAATTCTTCTGCCTGTTGCAGAACATGTGTAGATTCAAAAATGGAAAAACCCCAAAGTTCTGGTTTTGTTCTACAATGGGACCTGGGCTGCACATTCAGTTTGGCCCAAAAGCTAACAAAAGGAATAGGTGGCATCCATCAAAAGGAAGTAATTCTGGATGTATCGCACTACACCAATTTACACAGGGTCTTTTGCATAACAAGCGGCTGCACAGTAGCATTTGTGGTGCTTTTTTGAATATCAATGAGCAGCGTGGAGTACCCTCCTCTCCAAAGGAGCACGTTCCTCATTTGGCTACAAAAGCATTAAAATTAACAAAGTCATAGAAACTCGTTCCTCTGAAAGTGTCCAATTCATAGAATCAGAGAATCGTAGAATCGTAGAACTGTAGAATCATAGAATGAGTTGGGATGGAAAGGACCTTTAAAGGTTATCTAGTCCAACACCCCTGCAGTAGGCAGGGACATCTTTACCTAGAATCAGGTAATCTCTCCTGGAAGCTGCAACCTCAGCCCTGGAGAGGGCAGGGACAGGGAAGGCCCTACATTGGTTGCAACAGGCACTCTCTTTTGCTGGCTTGCTGGGGGCATAGCTGTCTCTCCTCTACATTACGAATGGACTAAGACAGCTGGAGCCCACCCAAAGTAAACGCAACATTAGAGAGTAGAAAAATTGGAAGGATTTAAATAGTGGCCTCTTAACTGGAGTCAAATTGGTTGTGAACTCAGAGCTCCTCTGGCCCCTGTCCAGCCACCCAGTAAGACCACAAGCTCCTCTGGTTTTGCCACTGCACAACTGGTGACCCCTTTTTGTTCTCTCCCCTGCACTGTTTCGTTTTGTTTGGGTTTTTTTTGTGTTTTGCTTTTGTGTTTTATAAGAAATGTGCTAATTCCACAGCCCAGAGGACTTTCCCCAGAACAGCTGCACATACATCTTAAACAGCTTTGTCCTCTAGGTGAGCCTACAGGGCTGTGACAGGCATGCAATCATCTTGCCATCTGAGTTGGGCCACATAACATAGCATGAACCAAAACCCGGTCTCCTCCTTGCAGAGCCAAATGGTCCTACTGAAAGTTGATAGATTTAGGTGTCTAAGGACTGCCCCTGTACGAGATGTCCTTATAAAATGTTCCCTATTTTATGTTGCCATAATTATAAAAAGACCAGTGCAGGTATCTGTTGCTGGTGTGTACTGATGAAGATAGGAGCCAATCACCTATGTCAGGAACTAGAGAGCTTGAAGAGGGCCTAAAGCCACCCAAGTTCTCCACTCCGTATTGCAAAAGCTCTTCTGAACTTTAAAGCTCAGAAGATACGTCTTCATCCCATTGCTTCTGAAAGTGCCAATCCTGCGTGCACACATCAGACACATGTTCCTGAAGACATGGTCACCCTGGAGATCCACTGCCCTGTGGAACTGCAAACACTGCACCTCAGGAGTGCTTCTTGGGGACGATGTGGGCAGCAAAGGTGTGGCAGCTGGGCGTCATGCCACACTGATCTGAGAATACAGTTATGTTTTTAATTACAGTGACTACAAAGCCTCAGGTAATCAAAGCAGCATAATGAGCCGTATGAACACGGACTGAGTCTCCCATCCTGCATCTCCTCCAGCCACTAACTCCTGCACAAAAACAGAGGCTCACTGGGCATAAAACGCGCCTGAATACCTCTTACCCACTGCCCTCCTGATCTGGGTAGGGAAGAGGTGAAGCAGCAAAGACTCCAGTCTCAGAAAAGCATGACTGGACCACTCACAGGCATAATAAGAATAAACTTTTATTTTCTGTGAACACTATCCTCGTCGGCATGCTTGTGTCGTGGGGCTGCGTACACAGAAGCGAGCCAGGCAGGGATTCCCACCTCACCGATGCCAAGACCAATGCCGGTGAGCAGGGTGCACTCACCGGGGTGCCGACTGGTGCTGCTTGCTCTTCCTGGTGGAGGTGGTGGCGGCAGCAGCGGGCGGCTGGCGCATGACGTGAGCAACACCCACGTTGACGGGCTGGGCTGCGGGGAGAGTGACGTGGCTGGCCAACAGCGCCGGCTGCTGCATGATGGGGTTGTAATGGCTGCCGTGAGCGTGGGTGTTCCTGCAGAGGTGGAGAAGACAGGGCACACATTTGAAAACGTAACCGGAGGCTCTTTGGCAGGCTCCTTAACAGGTTCCCACCACCTTCACCTCCTCCTCCAGGCACCCGTTGGGCTCCTAGTCACCCTGGTAGGGGAGCCATGGGCTGCAGCCTCTGCTGTTCTCCCACCACGGCTCTACAATCTCATGAGACCCCATCCCTCCCATCCTGGCTCTTCTCAAGCCTCCTTCAGAACCAGTGGGTACTTCAGGGAGCCGCCAAGGCCCTCCAATTTACCTCCAGTCTGCCAGGGGCTGGGTGCCTGCCATGGACTCTGGGATGACGGTCGCGTGCTGGACAGAAGTGTGAGTGGCCACCCCAGTCAGCTGCTGCCAGGCAGGAGGGAGTAAGATCTGCTGAGTGCCACTGGGCCATGCTTGCTGTCGGAGAGAGGAAAAACAGTTTCTTAACAAGAGGCATCGCACACTGAAATTGAGTGGTGGTCCACGCTCAGCTTGGGCTCCTGATAATGATCATGGTCATACTGCCTAGCTCTTACCATTTTTCAGTCACAGTCTCTGCTGAAAAGCAGCCCCATGGAGAAAGACCTTGGAGTCCTAGCGGACAGTAAGTTGTCCATGGGACAGCAATGGGCCCTTGTGGCCAAGATTGCCAATGGGATCCTGGCGTGCATGAAGAAAAGTGTGTCCAGCAGGTCTAGGGAGGTTCTCCTCACCCTCTACTCTGCCCTGGTGAGACCATACCTGGAATATCGTGTCCAGTTTTGGGCTCCCCAGCTCAAGAGAGACATGGACTTACTGGAGAGAGTCCAACAGAGAGCTACGAGGATGATTAAGGGACTTGAATATCTCTCCTATGAAGAGAGACTGAGAGAACTGGGGCTGTTTAGTCTTGAAAAGAAAAGGCTGAGAAGGGATCTTATTAATGTATACAAATATCTGAGGAGTGACTGTCAAGAGCAAGGTGCCCATCTCTTTTCGATGGTGGCCAGTAATAGGACAAGGAATAATGGGTGTAAGCTAGAACACAGGAAGTTCCAAATCAACATGAGGAGAAACTTTTTCACTGTGAGGATGATAGAGCACTGGAACAGGTTGCCCAGAGATGTTCTGAGTCTCCTTCTCTGGAGACTTTCAAAACCCACCTGGATGCGTTCCTGTGTGGCTGCCCTATGGAATCCTGCTCTGGCAGGGGAGTTGACTAAATGATCTTTCGAGGTCCCTTCCAACCTCTAATATTCTACAATTCTACGATAAATACTATTAGGAAACCACAGTGAAAGCAGTAAAAGTTATCAATATAGAGAAGAAAAAGGAGGGGGAAAAAATGTTTTTAAACTAAAATGGGAATGGGAGGGATGGAAATTGCTTGGCATTTCAACCCAAACATCAAACTCTTTAGCAGCTTTTAATTTTGATTCTCCAGATCAGCTGGGCATTGTGGTTCCAATGTTATTGCCCTCCTCCTACAGCCAATTTTCTTTCCCACCCCAACAGTATTTAAAGGACAAAAGGAGCTTAAAGTACTAAAAAGCAGAATGAACATTTCAAGGCTTGGAAAAGAGAACAGGGGGCTGCAAGGCTTTTGCGTTGAGGCAAAAATGGTGAATTTCGGGTTACCAAAAGGGAATTCCTCAGGAGGAACTTGCTGCGTGGGCCAAGGGGCCCAAATCACCTGCTTCCAGCTCACCAGGAGTCCCTCTGCCGAAGCAGAGAGAAGCCATGCACGACTACACTTCATGTGCCTGTCCTCCCTGTGCAGCCTCTGGCTTTTTCTGACCAGATGCTCCCCTTGCAATAGTGGAAACCTCTGCGCTGTGAGTTAAGCCATTGCTCTGCTATGCAACTATCCCTCCTGCTGCGCTGCCACAGGCATGACTCAGGTAGTCCTGCCGCACATGAGTCAGATGATTCGCTTTTTAACTTGTGAAACTTTCTTCGCCATGTGCTGCCTGAAGGAGGCTCCAGCAGCTTCTCACTGTCTGGACTGGGGAATGCAGGGGCACCCGCTATGTCCCTCCTTATTCCCAGCCACCACTACTATATTGGACCTGCGTTGAGTTATCTCACAGCTCTAAGGAGCCTGAATTTTAGTGAGGAGACTTCTTCCAGACATGCATTTCTCTCTATCTCCATCCTCACATGAATCCTGTTAACTGTCCCCATGATTCCCTCCTATTCCCTACTTAAACACCAACTACAAACACGTCTCCCCCACAAAAAAAAATCCCACACCTTTTCCCAGTTCTGCTCCAAAGTTTGACTGTCCTGTAACTTGCCAGTGCGTTAGATGCTTAGCTGCTGAGTTAGATGAAAGGGCTGCTGTGAGGCCTCTCAGCAACATCTGCAAAGGATGGACAGTCACAGGGCTCCTGAGAGCTCTTCATCTAAGGAGTCACAACCACAGACTGGAGCTGCTCAGAGCAGCTAAGAGGAAGCAAGGACACAAAAAGATCAGGGAGGAAAAAAAGTTTTTCCCTTTTCTTTTTTTCCCAGCTTTTATTTAAAAGAGGAGACTAAACTACTGTTGCAGTCAGTCTCAGGGGACTACCTGGATTTACTTGCAGAGAAAACTGCTTCCTCCCTTTTCAGGAAGACAACTGCACACATCTAAGCTCCCTGCCCGACTGCTGTGCATAAATTTAGATGCATTGTCAGGGTCCAGGCACAAATTCCTCACTTATTAGGTAAGGACCACTGAATCATTTAATCTGCAGATAAGACTTGTCTAGGCTGATCCACTTGCACAGTGTGCTGTGCTTACACACGGGAGGCTTGTGCCGGCAGCCGCAGACTGTTCTCAGTTATTGCTGTACTGTGAAATTGTGCCGCTGTGGCCAAGCATCGCGCTGGTCCCTGCGCTTGGGAGGTGCTGGTTCCCCCGGTGCAATAGAGCTCACACTTTGGATATTAGAGCAAGAACGACTAATGGAGTAAGTGTGTTTCTTCTGAAAGCTGGTGGCAGGACCTCCATGGGAAGAAGTGGTGTTGGGAAGGAGTTAAAAAGGAGAGAAAAATTGGGAATTCAGGGCATTATTCAAGGACAGGGTACAGTTCTGGGTCGTGTCAGGGAAGCTTGCCAGAAAACTGTACAGCTTTGTCTTTTTTGAGATCTGAAGCTGCAAAGAACTGTTAGTAAAGACAATTTTCACTGGTCTTCGTGCATGCAGTATGTTGACCACACTTGCTTGAGAGGGCGAACACAGACCCAGAGAAGTTATAATAAGTTACTTTTGTCATGGGCACTGTGTCTTGCAAGCTGCTTGCTCTGTCTAGCTCCACGCCACAGGCTGCAGGCACACAGTTGCCAGAGATGATGCTCAAAATCCGTCATTGCCTCTGCCCTGGGTTCCTCCAACTCCTGGAGCTCCTTCCCCTGTCCCTCCTCCCGGCCTGCTGTTCTCATACAAATACGCACAAGGAGAGCTGGACGTTGGCTGTGCTGGGATGCAGTACGGCTTTGCCAGCCACAGCCATCCTGATACGGGCAAGGACAGCAACGTGCGCTGCAGGCTGGGCGGGAGAGAAAGCTCGATGGCACTACCCAGTGCTGGGAGCACAAGGAGTGGCACCACATCTGACCAGGGGGACAAATAAGGCAGGTGGAAAGATGGAAGTGGGCTCCAGAGGCGCTAAGCTGTCTGCTGGGGACAGTCTCTCTCATAGCTGCAGCAATCACACAGTCCAGTCTGAAGAGCATTAGATAAGCAGCTGTGCATGAGAGGAATAGCTCTCTGCTGAGAGAGAGACACGCAGCCACTCAGAGATCAGATGCTACGACAATGCATTACAAAGAAGCTGTGTTTTTCCATTCAGGAAACTAGAATTGGGTACAGATTTGTTTATCAGACCAGCTGCTCAGTCCAAACTGAGTGAGGCCCGCAGACACCAGATGCCACTGGCATCAATCAGAGAGCCTTGCCATCAGAGCGGCAGCTAGCATTTCTCATCGCGTGAGACAGACAGATATATCAACAGGCAGACTGCCTCTCTTCTATTAAATCAAAAATTAAAAATCTATGCAAGTGAGGACTGTCTCTCAGAAACGGCTTAAATTCCCTTGTGGAACTGACAGTGAATAAAACATTAGTAGAAACCATGAGAGGGGTGGCCCATGAAAGGGGAGTTCGTGTAGCAGGGGCAGCGCAGGAATTGGTAGTGAAGTTCCTCCTGAACACTCTCTCCCTCCCACAGATTGTGTGGTGATCCCAACAAGGCCACCTTGAGAATTAAAAAAAGAGCTGGAGGTCCTGAGATCTTTCAGGATCCTGCTGCCTTTGGGATGCTTCAGGCCCTTCAGGCCTCACACTTCAAGAAGCCTGGCAAAATGGTGGGGACATGCCAAGCTCTGTCACCTCCTCCATCCACTGCCTTGGCTGATCTCTGGCACAAGCAATAGGTGTCCACAACTGTGCCCGCACAGACTGCTTCTTGCTTTGCCACTGTTTTTGTTTCTCCTGCCTCTTGGGCTCTCTTCTCCTGCCAAACAAGCGAGGTGGCCCACAGAGGTGGTTACAACAGGCTGAAACAGAGATAGTCTTGACAGGGTCAGGGCAGGTCAGCTAACGGAAATCACGCAGGCTGCAAGTTGTGTTTCGATCTGCCTTCACCAGATAAGCGCGACTGGCAGCTGACAAAGCAAGGCAATAGCACCAACAGCCTTGCCCCAGCAACACGCAGGCACAGACCCTGGAGTCCACTGGTACCTGATCAGCAATCACAGCACAACTCCTGGCCACAAACCACCGCTAAGACTGCGAGCCCGGGAGGACGCAGGAAGGTTATTACCAGTTCCTCCTCAGCAGAGGCCTGACCCAGCTTCTCATGAGGCTTCCTGCTGGATACAGACCAGCAGCCGACAGGCAGAA